TATATATATATATATTATATTAACCTATAATTGGAATCTGTGAGTGGTGCTTCTGGAACATTTTTCTAATTTTTAAATAGTATAATGATTTGAAATAATTTTTACATCTTATTTTTTACAATTTTATTCTAATCGTGTAGACTAACTATTGTATTATATTTATGGCCAAGTTTAGGTGTTGCAATTTTTTATAATTGAAAATTTTGAAAGTAATGATGAGAACTTTAATGGATCCTAAAAATTCATATATTCCTTTAGCGTCACGAAAATATATTTTTGTTATGAGTTAAATATCTTGTAAAATAATAAGCATTATATTGAATATCTTATAAATCTATAAACCTACATTATTATTTCTAAAAGTTAGGTTATATCAGCTATAATTCTTGAAAGTGAATTTTTGTCAAGTTAAAAATTTATAATCGAGCGAATTGCGTACATTACGTTAAAAAAAAATGAGTACGAAAAATATATAACGTTATAAAAGCCTACATAAATATTGTTTCATTTTGTGAGGTCTCGGAACATTTTAATTTTAGATAAGCTGACATTTTAATATACCTTAATGTCAAAATCTGCAATCTTCTACTTCTACATCTCTTCGTCATTTTTTGGCAAACTAGCTTTATGGCGATGTGTTATGCAAGTTCCGGCCGCCTGTTTCTCTTATCTTGTTCATGTCCTTTTGACATTGGCTTACCTTCCTGTCTCGTTGCATATCGCGCAAACAATACTCGCGTAAGAGCTTTAAAGCCCGAATAAAGTGAAAACGGAGTCGTGACGTGTGCAAAAGGATTTAAACGACGCTTCATCCGTAACCATGCAACACACAACTGGAATATGAAATTCGGTATTCTAGTGAGATTTCACATATTCTCATGAAGAAAGCTTATTCCTCGTTTTAAATGTAAAAGTAGTACTAGAAATGATGAAGAATCTCATATTAAAATGTTGCTCCTCTGGAAAGAAAATATATATGTATTTCGCATTCTTCGCCACATCTTTTCATTATTATTTATTCAAGACAAATATAACTGCGTTACATTTGTTTACACACGAATTTGAAAAAAATGTACGTACTTAAATGCTCTCGTGTTCTCTATCGAAAAAGGGGAAGAAGCGGAACGGATAATCCACGACGGACGCATTTAAAGAAAAGATACAAATAATACTTTTCATTTAAGCATCCGAGGACTGCTTCTTTTCTCCGTATCTATATGCCGTTGAAAGCGTAGGTACGTCGTAAATTCGCGAAATGCCACGATCGCGAATATCAATGTGAACGAGATTGTATTAAAGTGCAAAAATGAAGAGCAGCTAAAAAGTTGAAAAAGAAAAAAAAATTATTCGAATTTTATAAGAAATGTAATGCCTAGGAAGACATTACATTTATAAAATATTCTGGCCAATATATTGCTATAACGCAATACATTGGGATAAGTGTTTGGTAATTGTAATTATAATTGCATGATAAAATTATTATAACTAAAAGCTCCATTTTTATTACTGTTGTTAATAATAATAATCATATATGAAAAATTATACTATAAGTTATGAGTATTTCAATAAAATAATAATAAAATATTAAGATATAAATGGTAAATAAAATAAAAACTTTTATTCAATAAATGCAATCGCAGTTGTAGTAAATATAAATATTTTCTTAAATTCACTTCCTATTTATATTAATAAAAAATATATTATAGAGAAATTATAGAGAAAAACTAAAGATTTTCGAGTAGTGTATGTGACTATTGTTAATAGTACAATTTACTATCTTTGTATAATTAGAACAATTACAAATATATAATTACCCTAAAAATTATAAATTAAATGAAATAATTAAATTATAAAAAAAAATGAAATAATTAAAAATGAATAATTAAGTGAAATTATGGTAATTGCAATGCATGCATTTTTTTCTCGCAGTATCATGAAATCTTTTCGCACTGTTGCTATTTATATTAATTTTTAGAGGTCTATTTTTAAAATCTTACAGCTTTCTTTTTAACTAAAATTTGTTAATTCATTATTTCATTGTATGCTTCAAAATATGATAGTTTCAGCGCCACTATATAATTTTTCCATTCTGTAAAAGTTAAATATTAAGCCCTTCTAATGAATTTTTTGCTCTATGGTTATATATCTAACTCATACGCTCTAATTTTTGCTCCGATCATTTATAAAGTAAAATATTTTTTGCAGATTTCCTTGGACTTTCCAAACTTGTACGAAAATTGAATACACAATTTCAACGCTTATGATTATGATCGACATGATTACACGCAGAAAAAATTCTCGCAAGTAAGTACCGACGAAACGTGCCGTTCCGCAAGTTTATCGCGATATCTCAATTTATGCTAATTGCATATTATGAACATTCATATAAGATGAACGGAATGCGATTAGTCAGGTAGGCCAGGTCTTTCAATGCAAATTTTAAGATCAGGGCGTCGATCGCGTCACCGTTTTAAACTCGTTTTCAAATACTATTTTCGATGTCTTCGAAAAAGAGAAAATCTGATATTTTTATTCGATAGAAATTTTGCTAGCTGACAAAACACGAAGATAGAAACTAAATAAATAACCGTGTATCGAGTATATTGATAAAATATAGTTGTATTCGAGACTGATGTTATATCTGGTATTTGTCAAGAAATTTATATCTGCAAATATGCTGTTAAAACAATTTATCGATGATAAATCGGAGAAACGTTGTCGTCTGTCATTTCTCGATTTATTCTCGCGAACTCGTGTTATCGCAAGTGTCAGCGAGAGAATTGCACAAACAACGTTTTGATTTAACATTAAACGTTATGTTTATCATGTATTTAACTTATCTATAAAAAAAAAGCATCAACGACAGAAATTCTTTTTTCTTTATATGTATTGTGTCGAATGAAATATTTCTAATCACACGCGAAACGATGTATCAAAGATTTTTTTTCCGATAATTGATATTTTGCAAAGCTTGTCGATATTTCTTTAACGATGATATTAACGTCCAAATGCTTACAATGCCAAATAATAATTCTTTCATGAAATACTCTTGCTTTCTAAGTTACTTTATAAATAAATAATGTATTTGTCGATTTAAAATAATAAAAACGCAATTAAAATTGTATCTAAACGAGATGTT